TCAGTACAACAGCACTAAATACTGTAGCTAGAAATTACCTACCCTCATTATTTTACACTAATCGCATGCAAGAGAATTTCAGCCTTTCGCATTGTTCTGATTGTTGAAAGAAGGTTGAGTGTATTTATAATCCATCCTTGAGAACGAAATCATGCTTGATCATTAGCAGTCGAACTACGGAGAAGCATATAAAGTTGGCTAATTTTCTGAAAGCATACAGTTCAAATGTTGTAGCTGAAAACTCCATACCTTTTAGACAGGTAGATAGGTAGATGATTAGAAATGCTGTCAGTATAACAAACAGATGTAGTACTGCAGATAAGCAGTTCCCAGTGTCAAGACACAGTACACTTGATTAGCTGGGAAAATCACTTCTTCTTAGAATAATTTTTCCTCAATAGTTTATTTGCTAATACGCTATTGAGATGGTTATTGTTCTCAGGATAGATTGTCAGTATTATGGTATCTCCATTTTGGTCTATTTATTAGAACTGTTACACAGTTAAACAGTATTAACTGTTGAATAAGTTTGCGGACATAATTTATTGTCCATATTAATATCAGATAACTCCACAAATTCCAGACATGGTTTATTATAGTTCCAATACTCACACCTTCATTGTAAAATAGGTATCTGGAATTTCGATACATCTGACGCCGCGTGTGGAGTCATTTCTGTTGCATGCATTTGGTGTTAATTTGACAAATGAGGAAACATTCATCAGTCTCTCCCTCAACCCCTCTAAGTTCCTAAGGTTGGCCATTCTAGTCAGTCGTGTTGTATGGTTTTATCTCATTGCGTACATAACCATAGCCAAGTTCTGTCTAGATCTCTTCTCATAGTAGAAACCGACGTTCGTAATTCAGATAAGATTTTGTGCTTGATAGTACAATTCAACTTGATCGACTGAAATGCTCTATGTGTCTGGTTTCACAATCTTTGCAAATGATCTGGTCGACTAAATTATTTACCGAATTGGATTAATAGGATTTTCAACCTACAAAATTTGCTTTCAATCCGGTTTGTAGGATTAAATTTCATTCCGATTCAGTGTTTTTCATAATTCTGCCTGACATTACTGAGATATTTTCTTAGTGTGATGACTCTTCAGGGGTTATGGGGTCTCACATCACTGTGTAACCATTATTATCAATACCGGCCTCACTGTTGCTAGTTACATTTTTATTACAGATACTAATGGATGGCTTGATAAAATGTATGTGGGTATTTATTGAGGTAAAGGCTGCCACTAAGATATCTGATCCCCGTTTATAATTTACAAGTGAAGTTCCACAGGATTTAACTAACTGTGTGCAACGACTCACAGCTTACGTGAAAAGTCTGTGAACCCAACCCTTGAGACAAGAAAAGCAACAGCTTTACGCACCTCAAGCGAGTCAAGACTTTACTCATGTATTCGTCATGTACAACAGGGTTTGCAAACCGTTTAAACCTGCTTATGATAAACCCTACAGTAACAGTAGCTGACTGCTATCTATGGTTATACAAAAACAAATATAACCCACTGTTTCATGTCAGGGAACATTAGTAGGCTGAGATTCTATATCGATTGAGACATTTATGGGACGAATTGGTAGGGAATCTATTACTGGTTTAAGGGTTTCTGTCATTCACTCAGCAAGTTCATGGTCTGGTGAGTTTGATGTGTCAAGGGTGCGTTTTAAGCGAATCCCATATTTGTGGATTTTTGACGGACCATATGAACCTGGTTTATGTGTCCCAGACGATTTGAGGAGTCTGTAGACTGTTTGATTTATATACCAGTGCAATTATAATTCTGTGAGCGAACTATTAATTTGCTTTACAATGATTAACAGATTTGGTTGGTGATTTACAGATTAACAGATTGTCCACAGAGTTGTTCATTTTAAATTTTGCTTTGTTATTAAGTGTTTGATTCACTTATTTTTATCAGCCAGATTTATGCATAATGACAACGCCTTCTCCTGTGTCAGACAGGTTTCACAATAACAACATCACTGTTCTCTTTCAGTTAGTTTAGTGCAGTGTAATGTTCTGATGTCAGTCCATGGTGAATACCACGATTTGTTATCAGTTTAACTTTCTGAGGTTGTTGGTGTTTAGCAGACTTGTATTGATACTGGGTGATGATTGAAGGTGAAACGAAAATCTGGACTGCGATAGGATTCAAATGAGCACCCTCTGAGAACTCCTCCGGGTGACCTACAAAACCCACCCAACTGCTGTACACTATGTTGGTTGTTGTTCTAGGGGAAGCACTAAATGTTATCACCTCAAAATATTTGTCTTATTTGCATATGTCACAAACACTCAACATTCTAATTACTGAACAATAGGATATAGCTGAATCATTGAGCAGCTATTGTTAAAGCTGAAATGAAGACTGGGAGGGAGTTGCTTAATTATCCACTAGACAATTCAAATATCCTAGGAGGGCATGGAGTTCGACTAGGTGAGTGCCATTTATGGGTATGAAACACGATGATTGAGTGCCCGTTTGACGGATATGAAGAGGGTGAAGAAGGAAACAACTGTCGTAATGGAAGCAACCTAACTAGATTAATCAGTTGTAATGAAGTCGCGAAATGAGAGCGGACAAAAATGTATGAAAGTTAGGGCCGTCGTATATAAGCGACTGAACACATTTCTTATGAACGCAGAGATCAGGCTTGAACCTATGAACTGCCAGTCATTCTGACATGAAATAAAACTTCGAAAGCGTACTGCATTCTAACTGTTCCCTATGACTCTGCAGATATCTCTGAAGGAGGACTCTGGTGGAGCTATATGTTCAGAGTTGACCAAATGTTCGAGAACTTAATTTTTAATTGGTTTGAATTCTCTCCTCAACAACCACGGGAAAAGGTGATAGGATACGTGTTTGGAAAATGGATGCTATCTGAGGCCCAGATGAAGTGAATCACTGTGTTATGAAATATATCTGATAACTCCCACCTACAGATCGATAAAATTTATCAATATTAGAAAATTAGATAGTTTGTTGAAGCAGGGCATAATAGAAGTCTACACAGTTTCGATGAAGTTCATCGAATAAAGCTTTAACATTCCCTTCTTGTGGTTGAATGGCTTTGATGATGAATGTCAACAAACGCTTCATCAAAAGATATGCATGCGAGTTCAAGTTCTATTTCTTTGAACTCATATCTTCAGCATACTGCACCTTAGGGACTTAAACGATTGATTATCCTCACCCAATTCCAAATAATGTCAATTACTCGGAGACGTTTTCTTCTCCCTTTCACTTCTATGTTAGGTAAATCAGTTTATAGTGTACTTGACGATGAAAAAGCTACTCAAAAAGAGACCATGTTGATTGGTCCAGTGGAATCAGGTTTACTGGTGTATTCAGATTTTCTGAACTACAAATCTGGTACCTACAGATATGTCACAAGAAGTTTATTAGGTGAATAATCTGTTCGCTACACAGAATGGAGTGTGGAGATAAATACTCCCCATTGGATTGCTGTCAACTCATCGAATGAGGATTGGGGTGATAAGAGATTTTATAGAATATTACGTGGAAATGATGAATGTGAAACTGAGTTTCAGGTGGATGCAGAAACAGCATGCTCCTCAAATGGAATGCATGCAGTATGCGTTTTCAAATGAATTTCAAGTGAATATATTTTGCATATGATGGTCTTCTTGTATCTTTTGACGACAAAGGATATCGTGCAGGAGGAACAGGTTGTAGGTATTCTAAAATACATGCTGTTTGGTCAGTGACGTTCATCACTGAGACCTATGTATGTATTCAAACTACCTCTTCCATCCGAAAAAGAAGCACTCTCAGATGTTTTCATAAGATGGATGGGTGGGCTACATTCATCCATTATGCGTTAACTGGTGAATAATCAAGCCGAATTTATGCATCGTAAGGCTTGATTGTATAAGCAGTGTACACTTTTAAATCTCCTAACTCACTACTTACCCACGAAACTAATGAAAATTGCTAACTGAAAGTCGAATCACAGCTCATCTAGTAGCCTAAGCTGTTCGTTCCGTCCCCTTGAAATCCCGTTGAAGTCTTAGACGAGATTTGCTGGTTTCAGTTTCCTGAAACTGTTTACCCATTTGTCACTCACATGCTACCTCTACAGCCATATTTTCTGAGAATATATCCAGTATTGTTAACCAGAAACTGCTAATGTGATTGTGACACACAAATTGGTGAGTAATTGGTGAGTAATTTAATGGAATGTACACAGCACTAGACACCACTCTGGTTCTCCGACATCCACTGCACAATATGGTGAAGCAAAGCTAGACGACGTCCCAACATCGACTAATGAATTCATTTCTCGTCATAAACATGTGACTTGTATTCATTCAGAAAAGCATCTCGAATTTAGTATATTTGAAAAATAGCTATGAAATTATGTCAGTTAAATGGATGGAAACAAATAAACTGATATGTGTAGGAAGGAGATTTCATAACCGATTTGCAAACCTCGATGGTGCATCGAAATCCTAGGATTATAGAATAATTGTTCAGACCTATCTGAAGTTTACCAAGATATGCGTGGATAAAATCTACTTCAGAACTATTTGGAAAAAGGTAGGCGGGTAGTTATTTCATTGCACTTCACACTGGATTTTTGAATTCAGAATTCAACAGTTTAGAGAAGATGGATACATGTGTCAAATGCCGAAATATCTGTGCAACATTAAGTAGAACTGTGTAAAAAGTTCATTTGATCTTTGAACAAAAAGCACTTAAAAATCTTCATTCAAAAGGTAATTGAATAAACTATGAAACGTTTTGAAAATACCCACATTCTAGAGGGTTGAAAAACATGTTTGTGTTTTCGATACAAGTATGTTATTGGTAACAACGAATAATGTGTAAATAATTAATTAAATAATTTGTGAGTAAAAAATACTGTCAAAAGAACTCAGTAATCGAAGTCACCATATCGCCAGTCAAAGTTCAACTCATAAAATACATATAAGCGTTGAATGCATAGGACACTTCGTCTCACGACTGTTGGTTCATCATCGACTGTGGAATGTTGAAGACAATGCTGTGTACAGTCTTCATCTTCTCCCTCTGCTTCTTCTCCACCATCACCTCTGCCCATATTCTCAAGGATGGTGTGAAGCCGGAACCTCTCTCAGATGAAATGATTTCCTACATCAATCAACATGTAAGTCAATAACCAAACTGTTTGTCATGCCATTCTTTTGCTGCATGTCTACCTGACACACAAAGCAAATCAGTCATCTCAGGTTTACGTGTACGAATGAGTTATTTCGAGTATGTTAGACTAGTGTAACGGTATGCATTCGATGCGATCAACGTCAGCTAGTAGACAATCGTAGAAATGAAGATCAGCTGTAGGCGGTATCTGGAAGGGTGAAAATACCTGCCATAGGCAGTCTTCCAATTTCCCCTCATGATTTGTTTGAGATAGTGCGTAAAACGATTGTATGGAGTTACTGATAAAGTCGTTGGGTAGGTCTGAGATTGGAAAAGTCGGGAGACAGTGGCTCAAAAACAGGTGAGAAATATCAGGTCTAGCCGACCATGGTGACGAGTGGGCTGGATGCATTGTGAGATTCTGCTTTCCCATTTAATTATGAGTTAAGATATTTTACTCCCGTAAACACTCATCGTTTTCTTTTCCTTACACATCAGCCTAATGCTGGATGGAAAGCAGAGAGAAATTATCGTTTCAACTCGATAGACGATGCTCGTGTCCAACTTGGTGCCAAAAAGGAGGATCCTGAGATGAGGCGCAAAAGACGTCCGACAGTGGATCACAAAAATGTCAACGTGGAAATCCCATCTAGTTTCGACTCACGAAAGAAATGGCCTCAGTGCAAATCGATATCCACTATTCGTGACCAGTCACGGTGTGGATCATGTTGGGTATGTTTTTATATTTTCAGATGACATAGTACAAACAATTTCCACTCGAAGAACGCATATTATTTTTTGCCTCGTGTGTGCATCACATCTGACATCCGTGTGTAGAACTGACAAGCTAGGTGAAGGAAATGCGTTGAATTTACCTAGCAGCTGATAAATTTGCCATTATTGAATAATAATCGGTTTTGACTACATGCAACATTTTCACTATCTCGCTATGGGAACTAATTTCTGTGCTCACAAGTAGCTCTGTATTTTGTGAAATTTCCCTTTCATCTCCATAGTATACACAGAATGGTTTACTTTTCAGGCGTTCGGTGCTGTCGAAGCAATGAGTGATCGCATCTGCATCCAGTCGAAGGGAAAGATATCTGTCGAACTGAGTGCTGTTGACCTGCTCAGTTGTTGTTCAGAATGTGGCTTTGGCTGTCAAGGTGGATTCCCCGGAACAGCATGGGATTACTGGGTGGAAGAGGGCATTGTCAGTGGCAGCTCGAAAGAGAATCACACAGGATGTCAACCATACCCATTCCCCAAATGTGAGCATCACACGAAAGGGAAGTATCCTCCGTGTGGCAAGAAGATCTACAAGACGCCGAAATGCCAACAAAAGTGTCAGAGCAGCTACAAAACATCTTACGAGGGAGACAAACACTTCGGTAAGTAGGAGTGAAGTAGGCGATGGAGTTCATTTGCTGTATACTTTTCTGTCAGTGCTGAGTTGACTAACAGCTTGTCCTGTCCTATTCACCAGTTTCTTTGAGAATGCAGAGAACTGAGAATTTTGACAATTTATGCATATTTTGGTGTGTGCTTGAGAGCAGAATGACTTCAGTGAGTGTCATCTGTAGATGTGGTTACTAAAAGTTATTTTTATTTTTATTTGGAGTACATCTGACAATTTCGACAGAAAAGCGCACGGCATATCTTAGTTTTATATTCACATTCTGAAGAACTATACCTTCTCGAAACAGACTACGTGGACATTACGAAACCTGTTTAGTGCCAAGCCTTGCAACCTAAAGTCACATATATGAAAATAGTGTTATTATTTCATGTGATGTGCATGTTGAAAGGCGCCACATTTTTGCCGACGACTAGTCAGCATTTTCGCATTTTGATAGTATGTGAATGTTCAACTGATCAACTCCACTGTTTCAACTGAACTCATGAGACAGAAAAATCATCATGTCCATGAATTCCATGAAATAGCTAGCGTATAGAATATTTTTCATTCTGTAAGCACATTGAATATCTAGTGTTTTCTGTAGTGAGAAACTGAACTAGTTGGAGAAACTGATAATCTATTTGTCTATTTATACCGGGAAATTGAATATTCTCCGAATCACTTCCAAATTTAATACACCTGGTTCCTAAAATATGTTTTGTTTTCGCTCCTACAAACTGCAAACCCCTGAAGGATGTTTTCCTCTTCTTCCATTCATTGAAATAATAGGTGGATCATCCTACAACGTAATCAACGATGAAAAAGCCATTCAAAAGGAAATCATGTTGAATGGTCCAGTGGAAGCAGCTTTCACGGTTTATTCGGATTTTCTGAACTACAAATCTGGAATCTACAAACATACAACTATGGATGTGTTGGGTGGACACGCTATTCGCATTCTCGGATGGGGAGTAGAGAAAGGGACTCCTTATTGGTTGATTGCCAATTCATGGAATGAAGATTGGGGTGAGAAGGGATACTTCAGAATACTACGAGGGGAAGATGAATGTGGAATTGAGTCTGAGGTGACAGGCGGAATGGCGCATATCTAACTCATATTCAACCATGTTCAATAACACAGATATAATATGTATATTGGAAAGTATTCAAAGTGAATGTTTTCTTTGTATCAGGTAATAGTTTTAGAGAGAAGATCCTTAATCTGTGGTTGTGATAAATAACGCATAGAAATAAATTATAATCTACCGCCTGAGGTGTAAACCAGGTCTTTTTACTGATTAGTTAAAACAAATGCCAAATCTCACTACGTTTCATCCACTCATTGAAGACATAAAAAATCAGCGATTACCTTGATGCTATGTGATATAAAATGCAACGTTCCAATAACTCACACTTTACGATAAATATTTGAAAACGGAATATACGATCGTTATTCAGTCCAGGTACTTATCAAAACACTGCATTTCATTTTGCCTCAGGGAACACGATGCTAGTGATCTGGAAGATCAGTATCTCATTAAACTTCGAACAGTACATTCGAAAACTCTGACTTCATTCTGTTCATCCCAGTGGTAAGAACAGATAGGCTGTAAACACGCTTCATTCCCCTTCGACCACACTTCACACAACAAGGCTCGTGTGGAAATAATGGTCAACACACTGTATCTTGTGTTGACTGCCACCTTCCTGTGTAATATATGGCTGGTCACAGTGAAACGGTGTGTAGCGAAAACAGCATCCGTTGCGAGATATGTAGGTGACACATACATTATTCACGGAACAATGCACTGCAAACCGACCCTTGAGCAAAGCAAAGAAGAATAACGAGTTCCCAACAAACCACGAACAGTATGATAGATTCGAGTTGCTTGGAGTCTGTATCAGACGAAAAAGGGTTGTTTCATTTCGACAGTGTGGCCATTCGGAATTCCATAGACTAGCCATCATCTGTACTCAGAAAGTTTAAATCAAATCAAGTGAAGTGTGAGGAGAAAGTATTGATAGAGGATCAATGTGTTGCCTAGTCGATAAGACAGTTCGGAAATCACGATGTTGACAATTGTATGTGGTTTCTTTGAAGCTCACACTGACGAGATTACCCAGTTGTCAAGCACGAAGTATATTTTGCAACAGATGGCATAATTCGAACAGCAGATTATTTAATTTGACTGATCTTTGAAGATAGAGACAGTTGAATTGAAGGAAGTATTTGATCGACTAGCCTTTCCTAACTGCCTGAAATCGTAACTCTGTATGCAGTGCGTACATGTAATGCGGAGCAAACAATAGCATTGTCAACCATAATTCCAGCAATGTGAACCGTCATCAGTCTTGGTTCGGACAAATAAACAACAAGGCGATCTCTGTCATTATCGACACTGTTTATCATACGAAGATTGATATCCTCACTTGTGACTGCTATATTTACACACTGTCGCATTTTCGAGTTCATCTACTGAGCTACATACGTAACGTGAGCTTCATACCTTTGGTAAGAGCTTTCACCGTTTGGAAGTTGACATTCTGGAACCTGTTTAGACGGATATTGAAAAAGGGTACTGAGGAACGCGCCACACAAAATATTACAACAATATGATGAAGACATAGAGTGGGTAAAAATAAAGCACAATAAGAATAGAATGATTGGAAGGGCAGTTCAGTAAGGTACATTCGAAGCGAAACATGCATGAGTTTTCAGCAGCAGAAGATAGGAGCAAGCTACAGCATGATCGCCACTGGTTTCCATTCCGAGTCATATATGATAACGTCTCTAGCTACTGACTTGCATGGTCTACTGGACTCCACCCAAGAAGTCGTGATGCACACACAAACGCTGACTCGATACAACTATCATTCATCCCACGGCACCATGTCATACACTGACCACCCCTCCGCCTCTTCCACCCAGTCCCAGGGTTAGCAAACAGTGAAAGATATGGAAGCCGTTGAGACAACATGCGTAACACACTTGTAATCCACCAAAACCAGTGTTTCCGGATCACTTCAATTATGGAATGACGGTCACCACCGTGCCAAACACACCTCGTCGTACCTCAGGATTACATGCATCGTGTTGCCACCGGATACGAGCAATCCCCCGAAGACAATGACCATTGAACACATAGACTCGTGGCATTTCCTCAGCTCGGAGAGGCCTGGTTACACTGGAGTAGAGTGGGACTGCTCACGCCAAAGCGCTGTAAACCCAACGTTTTACGATCAGACTAACGTCTCGACGGCGGTAACTGTGGCCGAGGTTGGTGTATGCCACTCCGCCTTTTTATATGTGGCTGGAAATGTTACCACTCACCACTCACACCTCCATCAACACTCACTAAACTACCCAGACACATGAAATTGTTGACTGCTCCCAATGGCTCACAACCAAGGGTGAGCGCAAGCACAGGCTCCTGTCAATCTTGCAAGAGTACTGTGCAGTTGGATGATGTAAAGCACACACCATACTTAGGCACTCTTATCCCCAACTGATTAAGTGCGACTTGACCAGACTGTTTCTTATCTCACAGTACAACGATCTCGTCTGCATATTCAAGGTTCAATGACTGTTCTTTGGGTAGTAGACCTACACCACCATCACGCAGCTACTTCAGAGCTGTCGTAAGAGTGCCATCCATTGAAGAGCTAAAGAGGAATGGAGAAATCAAGCAATCCTGTCTAACTCCACTGCTGGTTTGGAACAATGGAGACAGGTGGTTGTATGTCCTCACTCTACCTAAGGTGTTATTTTATAAGGATTTCAAGACGTTAAGAAATTTCTCAGGCGTGCCCCTCTCCAACAGATAGTTCATGAATACAGCTCCGTCCAAGGGATCGAAGGCAGCTCTAATGTCAAGAAGCACAGCGAATGTCAGCCTACAATACGCGTGGTGATGTTCAAGAATCTGGTGGAGGGTGAACACATGATCAATGCATCCAAAACCTGAATGAAACCCAACCTGCTCCTCGTGAATCACTTGCTCACTTGTTTTGCAAACTCTGCGAAGTATGATAGAAGCCAATATTTTTGACGCCACTGTTAACAGACTAATACCTCGATGATTGGCATATGCATTACGCAGACCTTTTTTAAAGATAGGCACAACAATGGCTTCATTCCAGGGTGGTGGAACACTCTCAGTCTGCCTACCATACCCTCTCAAATAATCTAGTCAATCGCCTGACCAGAGTCATTTCTCCATCCTTAAAAGGAGTCGGAGGTAAGTTGTCTGGGCCGATGGCCTTGTGGCGTTTCAAAGCTTGGAGTTCCTTATGGACCTCCACTTCGATAGGCGGGTCAATGTTAATTGACCGTGAATCACGATACATAGAAGGGCTCCACACAGCGTTCCAGGAATCATTTTATGATCATTTATCGGCGTACCACCTACCTCAAAGACAGTCTCGCTAACACCTAGCTTCTTGCTGCCAGTGGCTCCGATCATCTGAAAGAGCTTCCGACTATTACCAGATGCAACTTCTACTTCCATTTCACTCGTGCGTTCTGACCACCAAACCCCACGGCCCCTGTGTAAGCTTCGTGAAATCTGTCGCGTAAAAGACTTACGCGAACCATTGTACTCACTTTCCACCAGAATGGTCCGACGAGTGTCAAGAAGTTTCTGGGAGCTCGCAGACATCCACTATTCATTATCGGGATGTTCTTCCATGCCACAAGCGGCTTTACTCGCCATTTAAATGGCGTCTTGCAAGTTCAACCAATCCTCGTCTACACTTTCTGAAGGATCAGTAGCCAGCTTTGAATCCAGCTGCAATGATAGGTGCAACTAATCTCCTTGAATCGACATTTCACGAGGACGATTTTGAGTACCACCAAAACGCAAGACGAGCTTCGCACACACTAAAGCATGATCACAGTCCAAACAAGTACTCCATATGTAGTTATAGTCCTGTATGCACTCATGCCAATGATAGCTGATTGCGGCATGATCTGTTTGAGTTCTGGCTTGAGTGGCAGACGGACGACGCCAAGTAACACAATGGTGATGGCTGTGCCGAAAGTTGGTGCTGGCTGTAAATAGGTTGTAATCTGTGCAAATCTGCAGAAAATGATCCCCATTATCCCACCTACGGCCAACTAATCCCCATTGGCCACCTAAACGACTCTCCTCTGAGTGCAGACGCCCAACCTGCTCATTCAAATTCCCAGCTAGCACTACAATGTCTGTCGAGCATACTAGGTTGATGAGGTCACTCAGTTGATGATAGAATTCATCCTTGGCTGCATCCGGACTACAATACGTCGGAGCATAAGCAGAGATGACGAAGAGACATCGTTTCTCTTAGCGATTACTTCTTATTCAATTTGAACCCTCTAGCCTAACAGTACATAGATGACTGTTGATGGTGATCCAGTCGCGTAGCGCAGCTTCCGCTTGATGATTTGGTGAGGCAGTGACACCAGTGAGGCCGGTTGCCGATGCCACAAGGTCCTCGGATAAGCATACATGCAACATACTTCACGAGCTGACAGATAGAGATCAAATTCGAAGAACTTCCCTGGGATCTTGTATGCGGATCTCTGAAGTACAGCATACATCAATGGCGAGGCTTTCCAGAGTCCTAGCTAAACCTGCCACTTATTCAATCTGCATTGAGGTGCGAGTTCTGAAGTCAGTACAAAGAATTCACCCAGATGTATCATGGTTGATCTACTCCTGCGTATTTTTGTGCTCCTGTTTCGAATTTCGCTTGCTGCTCGCTTTTGTTATTCACTTTTCTGGCTTACCTAATCAGTTCTGCATTCAAATGGAATCCTAGAAATTGCATTTGTCAGTGTGCACCTTGCCATCAAAACCTTATAACGAGCATACACACCCCAAGGTCACGACTGTGATGCGGCCCCACCTTCAAGGATATTGGAAGATTCGAACAATAACCGAATAATTCCTAATTTTGAACTAAGCCTGCTTCGACACACCTTTTATATGCCATAAATAACGGTATCTAATGCACAGCTTCACGCTGCACATTATAGTCATTTCTCATTACCAAAATGATCAAACCTGTAAACTGGTTTGTATTCATGTAACCTATGTCGTATGAAATACACATATTATTATTATTATTATTATTAAGGTGTCGAGATTGAACGGTGTTAGTGGTTTCAGGATAGCTGTGTCAGACGGCGCACAGTAGGAGAGCTTTATGGGAACAGCTGTTTAACGATTCAGGATGGTACAGAAGGACTAGAAGTCTAAGCAATGGAGAGCAGCTGAGTGAAATGAACATAAAGACAA